TTCTTTTTGACAATGAACGCAACACCATTCCTCTTCAATTTGTCATTCCCTGCATAGTAAACCATGTGGTTGTCAGATTCAAAATGGCCAATACCGGTCCATTTCAGCTCACTAATGCCTAAGATATTGATGTTGATACTTAATTGTAAAAATGCAGAACTCCAATGTCCATCTTATCCTGTTTCAGTTATTAATACCTATAAATAAGTAAGTATGTCAGCCAGGCACTTGTTGCCTTGCCCTAAAGTTCCATTTGGCTTCTTGACACCTGTTTTCCCTCATCTCATTTCAGCCTTATGGGTATTAAATCTTCTAACATTGGCCTTGCTTTTTCTTTTTAATTTATTTTTTATTGTGAACTGAATGATAGTTTACATGGGAGAACATTGGCTTTACACCATTGTTCCATTGCAATGACTACAATCTCCTCTGTGCATCATCATTCCATAGTATTTGCTTCCATTCCCTCTGGGTTTTTTTTTTTTTGTTTTGTTTTTTTTGTTTTTTGTAGGGGGGTGGGTAGAGGCACACAAATATACTCAGGAATATATAATAATTTAAACAACCAAAGAGCACATTCTGCAAGCCTGCCTCCTGGCCACCAGCAATCAGTCCCTCTCGTTCCATGAGTCTACAGTCCTCAGCTGCTCCATATCACCATTTCTGCCTCCATCTCTGGTGTTGCTGCTTCTCTGGATAGGGTCCCACATTCTGCTCATACTCTTCTCCCTTGATGGTTCTAGGGCCTTTTGTTTCTGGACTGTAAGATTAACTACTCCCCCATTTTTATTACAAAACTTCTACCTTTACATCTGTGACAGTTGCAATTAGTCATGATGACACTTATTCACTATTTTTGCTCTTTTTCTTTATCTTATTTAGAGAATGGCATTCCAGGACATGTTACATGGCTATGCTACCTGCTTTATGTTTAGAGTTATGTTCACATAGCTCATATATATTAACAGGAGGGATGAGTCCCTGGAGAAGGACATCATACTAGGTAAAATGGGTCAGCGAAAAAGAGGGAAACCTCCAATGAGATGGAATGTCATAGTGGCAGCAGCAATGGGCTAAAGCAGAGAAGCAACTGTGTTTTGAGTCAGAACTAATTCAATGGCACCTAGTAACAATAACAAATTATATAGCAGTCATTATAACAATATTAGTTATAAGTGGGTGTGCTCTGGCAAAAAAATGTATTTTTCTGAATCAATTACACATGGGCAGCCTCCCTGATTGGGGTATCACTGCATGAGTATGGTCACCGACCTGCTGCCCTTTTTTTTTCTGTAACACCCAATGCTCCCACTTCCATTGCTGATTCTGGGCACCCCTGTGATTCTACTCTTTCCTAATTGCTCTCACGTTGCCATTGTTTTTTTGTTAGCTGTATGCTGTGGAGTCAGTTCCAACTCATAGCGACCCTGTATAGGGTTTTCCGAGGCTGTAAATCATTATGGGAACAGAAAACCTCATCTTTCTCCCATGCAGCAGATGGTAGATTTGAACTACTTACCTTGCAGGGTTAATTGCCCAACTCATAACCCACTGTGCTTCAGGACTCTGTATATTGCCGTTGCTGCTGCTGCATGCTGTTGACTTCTGATTCATAGTGACCCTGTACAGGGCTCCCAAGGCTGTAAATCTTTACAGGAGTAGAACATCTCATCTTTCTCCCACAGAGCGGCTGATCAGATTTGAACTGCTGACCTTGCAGTTAGTAGCCCAATGCATAACCCAGCCCTATACACTGGTAGAATCCTGGTGTGGCGCTATGAGTTAATTTGCCAGACTGAAAAGCTGTTTGAACTGCAAGGTCCACAGTTCAAGCTCACCAGCTGCTCCTCAGAAACCCTACACAGGGTCACTATGGGTTGAAATCGACTGGACAGCACTTAACAACAACACACACTGGCAGAAGATACATTCCTGAAATCCTTATCTAGAATTCTGGATGAGTTTTCAGAATTTCAGTGCTACAGATTTTGGTAGGCTCTATAAGGAAGTCTAAGGAGCTCTGGTAGCATAGTGGTTATGAATCAGGCTGTGAAACGCAAGGTCAGTAGTTCGAAACTACCTACTGTTCCACGGGAGAAAGATGAGGCTTTCTGCTCCCGTAAAGATGTATAGCCTCAGAAACCCTATGCAGGGTCACTATGAGTCGGAACCAACTCCATGGCACACAGCCAGCCATAGAGTCTTGAGGAGTCCTGGTGTGGCGCTGTGGGTTAATGCGCCAAACAGTAAAGCTGTTTGAACTGCAGTCACCAGCTACTCCTTGGAAACCCTATTCAGGTCGGAATTGACTCGACGGCACTTAACAACAACATTATAGAGTCTTGAAGGAGCTCTGGTAGTGTAGTGGTTACAAATTAGGTTGTTAATCTTAAGGTCAGAAGTTCGAAACTACCAGCTGTCCTGTGGAGGCTTTCTGTTCCCATAAAGATTTACAACCTCGGAAATCCTATGCAGTGTTGCTATGGGTTGGAAATGACTCTATGGCACATAACCATTACCACAATCATGGAGTCCAGATGTGGCACTGTAGAATAAGCACTGGACTGTTAACTGCAAGATTGGCAGTTCAATCTTGCACCTCCTAGAAAGTCCTACACAGGGACACTATGAGTCGGAATCAACTCAATGGCATTTGATAACAACAACAGTATTGAAAGTACAGAGATGAATTCAGTTATACTTTCTCTTCTTACTTCGGTACCCCACAGAAAATTAACAAGGTTATGCTAGAATAAAATACTTTCCTTTCTTTTAAAGTAAAAGACATATTTTTAAATATTAAAGCTATGCAAGCTTAAATAGAATGAATGTTTTTTTCTAGTAGTTTATTTTACTATATTAAATACAACAATATGCTCACAGACTTTGTAGTAAGATACACCTGAGTTTAAATCTGGTCTCTACCACTTGTTATAATGTACCCTGGACAGTAAATTTAGAATATTTCCATTGATGCTGTCCTTTTAATATGTGTGTTTTCTTACCTGCCATCTTATTTTTGAAATATATTAATCTAATTGTCTCCAATCCTAAAAGATTTAATGATCCTTCACTGTTTAAGGGTCGAACCTAAAATAATAAAAACAATTAATATTTCAAGTTAAAAAAACTAGCCATAAAGTTTTTGATCTATTAATAAGCTGTACAATATTTAATCCTTTCATTTGTCATTCTGCTTCAAAATACAGCCCTAGAAGAAAGTGAACAACAAAAACTAGTATTAATTTGTTACTGGAAACTTATGAAACTATCTAACTTACACAAAATTATAATAACATTTTAAGAGAATAAGCCAAAAAAAAAAAGAAGTACTAAGTAGAAATATATTTAAATCTTACATTTGACTTTTTAAAAGCTACTAGTGACTAGATATATTAAAATTATATCCATACACTTGCTTTATGAATTCTTATTACCAAAATCTAAACCACATACTAGGTGGGTGGTAGGTGAAATTACAGGTCACAGGGGAAAGGAGGGGCTGCCAATGAATGGTGATGGTAGTTATTCATACGGAAACAGATGAAACTGGATTCCCTAGTTCCCATCATATACACACACTCAATTTCAGATAGACTAAAGACATAAATGGTTGCAAAACTTTATAATTTTTGGAAGAAAATAGGTTATATCTTTATAACCTTCAGATAGGAGAAATTTCTTAGACAAGAGACACTAAACTATCCAAAAGGATAAGAAGGACACATTGAACTACATTAAAACTAATAACTTCTGTTCAGCAAAAGACACCTGAAAAGATGAACAGACGGAAAACAAACACAGAAAAAGCCTTAATGCATGCATTATCCAATATCCATGGCACATCAAGAATTCCAAAAAGTGAATAAGGGAAAAATGGCCAATCCAATAAAAAAAATACATAAAAGAAATGATCAGGCATTTCCTGAGAGAGGAAATATGAATGATAAATAAGCATAGAAAATTGAGAAAACGCAAATCAACATCTTAGTAAGGTACAATTTATAACCATTCACAAAATCTAAGAAGTCTGATGGAATTGAATCCTTGGGTAGTTAATGTTAATGCATTTATTACTAACTGAAAGGTTGGAAGTTTAAGTCTACCCAGAGGCTCCTTAGAAGACAGGCTTGGTGATCAACTTCTGGAAAAACCATCCCCTAAGGAGCACAGTTGTACTCTCATGCACAGGTTTGCTGGGAGTTGGAGTCAATTTGATGGCATTTTTAAAAAACGTGAATCAGTAATATATGTTGGTAGGAGTGTCAATTGGTACAATTACTTTGCAAATAATTTTCTTGTAAAATGATGTCCTATGACCTATCAATATGATTCTTAGGCATGACCTAAGGAAACTCCTGAACATGTATGCCAAAAGTCACATGCAGAAATATTTATGGTACATTCATTGTTCACAATAGCAAAATGCTGGGAAACAGCTCAGATATCTGCCATTCAGACAATGGGTAAGTAAATTAAGATGTTTGCCTAACAGAGTATTTTATTGTAATGAAAGTCATATTATAGTACATGTAGTAATATTGAGGCGTCCTGGTGTAGTGCTTCAGGATAAGCACAATGTTGGTAGTTCAAACCCACCAGTCACTCTTTGGAAACCCTACGGTTACTATGAGTTGAAATGAACTCAACTGCACTTAACAACAACAACAAAGTACCATGAATGTATGTTGAAAACACAGCAAATGAATGAAGAACACCAGATAAAAGATGACATACAACAAAACATTTTTACAAAGCCCCAAACAAACAAAATTGAACAATATATTGTTTAGGAATTTTTAAATATACAAAAAGTGTAACTTGAGAAAACCAAGGGAATGAGAAGAGGTCGGGGTATGGAGTAAGGGAAAAAGTATACAGGTAGATGCAGTGCTATGGGCAATGTTCTGGTTTTGAAGTTAGGAGGTGGGTTCAAAAGTGAGCAGGTTATTGTTATGCATCATTAAGTGTCATATATATTCATTCTCTCTTACATATAGTCCCCAAATTATATAATAAAAATAAAACAGAAAATTGCAACCTGATCAGACTTTGAAATCAGAGAAGAATATCCTAACTGCTTTAGGTAATGTGGCAGGCAGTATTTACAAAAGCTTTTTTCACAGCTGATGGGGTTTGCAAATGGGGAAGTACTTGAGATGTGATGATCATGGCTACTTTCTTTCACCCTGATCCTTCCACTAATACATGCTGATAAGGGACACATCTGTCAGACACTATGTTCTTCTTCTTGTAAAACAGCAGTTCTAAACTTGCAAAAACCCTCTGTGTGTTATGAAAACATAAGAAAATATTAAAGGCAAATACTCATATTCTATTTTCTTAAGAATATGTGAAACATTCTTAAATCAGAAGGCACTTAAACATAGCTCTGGTTCTAAGTGTAATCACTTTTTTAGCCTATGAATTCTGTCCTCATAGTATTAAAAATTGCATACCAATTTGTGAAAAACAGTTATAATTAATAACAATAATATATTATCTCATAACTCCTTAAACCATATATAGAACATAACACATACATTATGGGTTGTAAGATACACCCTAGCTGTTTGTTATAAAAACAATCATACGTCATACAACAAAGCTAATATAATGCAGATATAATAATATTAAATATGAGGGATTTTGAAAAGTTAATGGAAAATGGAATTAAAAGATAATATAATATAAATAAAACATAATAAAAAGTTTTATTTTTGTTCCCATTATTTCTTTTTTCTTACTCTTGGTGGTGGTGGTTATGAGCTGACTCATAGTGACCCTGTATAAGGGTTTCTGAGGCTGTAAATATCTCTCCCATGGACTGACTGGTAGATTCGAACTGCTGACTTTGAAGGTTAGCATTCCAGCTCATAATCCACTATGCTACCAGGATTTATTTCATGCTCTAAGTCCAAAATTACCAAATCATATGCCAGAAAACATTAAAATACTGAAAATAGCTAGACAGTCATGTTAGTTTTTCACTGCCATGCTTATAAGTTTGTTTAGCTGTGTTTTAATGTTAAATGACCTTTTTGAGAGGGAGAGTTTGAATCCATTCCATGGAGTTCACATCAAAAACATCAACCGCATTTTCACTATACACTGAGAGATATGGTGCGTTGTAACCTGGGAGAAGGGACAGAGAAAACAGCTTTGTAATTACTTTAACTGTTTAATCCTAAGCATAAAAAAAAAAAAAAATCTTTGTTAAATAATTGTAGAGTGGAATATCACATAAATCTTTTGATATCATATAGCAGCCACATTAAAATATTTTTGAAGTACACAGAGTATGAATTATAAATGAATTGACATACTATGGATCAGATTATATAAACATTATAATACATGAAGTTTCCATAATTATCAAGGGTTTAATATTAAAAATTAGTTCTATAGTGGCATTTCATTACAGTTACAAAGCAGAGACATCTTTATGGAAAAGTTCTAGTGTCAGTTATGAATATAAGATAATATGCATAGGCAGATGCTCAATAATATAGTCATTTGAGAAAGAATATTAATTGTGACATAAGCAAAGAGAGAATAAATTATTTACCTAAACTAAGGTCACAAACTAAGTTATTAGCAGAGCTATTCATAAAAGCCAGATGATTCAGCTCTTATTCCATATAAAAGTCTAAACTGCAAATTATCCAACTCTTGTTGCTGTTAAGTGCCATTGAGTCGGTTCTGACATATAGTAACTCTATGGGTATTCCAAAGAGCAGCTAGTGAGTTCCAACCACCGACCTTGTGGTCCATGCTTATGCTGCAGTGCCACACCAGGACTAGATTACACAAAACAGCATTTGTTCTACGTATGATGCCATAGGTAACAGCATGTATTTCAGAAGAAACAAAATATTAAGAATAGTTAAGTCAGGATGGGTGGGAGGAAGAATATTGTTCCTTTGTTATTTTAATCTAGATTTCCTCATTTTTCTGTAGTAAGCATGCATCACACTCTTATACTTTCTTCACCAAACCTTTAACTGGACTGCACCCATACTCATCAGTCCTCCTATCTTGTTACAGGTGTGCCCTGAGTTCTACCCGATCTAGCCTTCTTGTTCTACTTCCTATTATATCCTCTACACTCAGTTTTGTCCTCGGGGAGTTCCCTAGTGGTTCTTCCCGAAACCTGAGCATTTAAATGTGTTCAAGTTTCTTCCACTAAAACTCAAACATTTTGGATGATTATTTCTATGAACTCTGTACCCCTGCTATCACAACACTTAGATTCTACTGCAACTGCTTTGTCTTATCGTGAATCTTCTCTATTGCACAGTGTGCTCTGTGAAGGCAAGACTATTTCTATGTTGTTCAATGCTATGCCTCACACATGTAATAGTAGTCAATAATTTACTAGCATTTGAACGTTTCTTAAAAAAATGAAACAAGCAGTTTTAAATTTCTACCTGCCTAGGTAAAGTGTAGTGGTTATGAATTGGGCTGCGAATCTTAAGGTCAGCAGTTCGAAACTACTAGCTGTTCCACGGGAGAAAGATGAGGTTTTCTGCTCCCGTAAAGATTTACAGCCTCGGAAACCCTGTACAGGGTCGCTATGAGTCGGTTCCAACTCCACGGCACATAACTGCCACCAGGTAAAAATATAAAACTAAAAAACATTTCTTATAAATACTATATTACACCTTTATCTAACTGATTAAATAATTCACTTAACTACTTTCTATAGAATAGGTCTTATGAGTTATTAACAATAGTAAGCACTGTATTTTGGGACACCAAAAGACAACTGGGCTATTTCACAATAAAATATAGATTAAAAATCCATCTATATAAAATGTTCCATAGAAAGAGTAGCTTTCTATGTGCAAGTCAATGTGGTGCCTGTTGGTGTAGGCCTAAGTACACTATGGTTATTCTACATAAATGACAGAATGAATATTTAGGAAAAACCAAATGATGGCCTTAAAAAAAATACCTTGTTATCAACAATGGCTACATTTAATACATTAAGTGGAAGGAAACAGACAGAAAGATAAGACAGCCAAAAGTAAGAGAGTCTTACAACAAGAGGAAGGATTTGCTGGCCACATCAATTCTTGCTGCCTAGATCTTCGGCCCTGGCAGTCAGTGTATATCCCAATGCTGCTAAAACACAGCAGATATTCTTTACTTGAGATCTCAACTGCGCAAATAGCATCCGTGGGTTGATGTGCAATAAATGAAAGGGTGTGGTCATTTGAATGCAGCATACTGAATGGGCTTCCTTCTCCATTCAAGGGGTATCTTAGAAATCCTGACTGGAATCCCACACAGAGTTGTTCACTGAAGATGGTCATCCACTGGACATTATACGGCACTTGAATTTCCTTAAATTTTCTGTGACGGGTCTTGCTCTGAAATAGTTCATAACAGAGGACTTGCCTTTTCATAGCCACACACAGGCATGTAAGAGCTCCATGACGTACCTTTCCAGAAGTTATGGCTTGACACCCTTTAGTTTCTGTTAGTTTGTAAAAATCAGTCTCCCTACCATCCAAAGCTGACATGGGAAAAAGTCGTACATGACGATTTCGTCCTGAGATCACAGCAACAAGCTGATCACTTGGAATGAGTTCAATCTGATGAATCTTCTTATTGTCACCAACTCTAACAATTTCTACATAAAAATATCAATAAATCAAATGCAAAATGTTTTATTTATTAACATTATTATATCTCAATTGTATACAAAACAATACATTGGCTTATAGTAAAGATATACACACACATAAGAGCGTATAAACAATATACAGAAAAAACCCAAAACAGCAAACCCACTGCTAATGAGTCAATTCCAACTCACAGTGACCCTGTAGGACAGACTAGAACTGCTCTGAGACTGTAAATCTTTCTCCCACAGCACAGCTGGTGGATTTGAACTGCTGACCTTGTAGTTAGCAGTCCAACACTTACTACGAGAAAAGGGAAGATAATTAAATCTACTATAAAATATAAAACAATGGCTATAATAAGGAACTAAATTTAGCAGAGGTTTCTGGCATCTGAAACAAAAAATTCTTATCTGATAAAGCATTCCAAATCTTTAAGAAAAATCTTTTTGATGTCACTGAATTCTAGGGAACTTCAAAAAAACTTTCCTTTGAAAAAATTGAGTAATTGAGTAACTCATATTTTACTGAAGGTATTTCTGTGAATAACAAACTAATGTAGTTTAAATGCATTGTATTACCGTGATCTAAGCTGATACAAAGGATAGAACTCAGAACACTGCATACAAGAGTGTTAAATTAAATTGGTTCCTCATTATTTCTCCCAGTATTTAATTTCTCTCTAGAAAAAATCCGTTGTGCTGAACTGTGTGGAAAAATAAACAACACACACATTTGAATGGTGTTATCTCTACTTTACTAATAAAGTACTAATAGAACAATGGGAAAAGCAAGTTGTTTTTCTTTCATGTACCATGTTTAGGAATGTAATTGCTGTTGTTGTTGTTGTTATGTGCCGTGAAGTCGGTTCCGACTCATAGCGATCCCGTACAGGGTTTCTGAGGCTGTAAATCTTTACAGGCTCAGAAAGCCTCCTCTTCCTCCCTCAAAACAGCTGGTAGTTTCGAACTGCTGACCCTGAGGTTAGCAGCCCGACTCGTAACCACTATACTACTAGAGCTCCTTAGGAATGTAATTAAAGCCCATATAATAGAATTGTTACATAAAATGGCCTAAGAAACACTAAGCGCTTGACATTTTAGAACTCAAGGGGATTACGGAAATGAAAAAAGAAAGGTCTTTTGACTTATAAACACAGCAAATTGGAACTGGAAAATGTCACCTAAAGAAAAGCCAAGTCTAGCATTTTAAAAGAACATATGGTTTAAAGTTATTTTAAATTATGTTTTTTTCTTACCATCTTTGGTGACATGCACAACAAATAATCCTTCTTCATTTCCCAGAGCTATTCTTTCATGATCTATTTAAGACATAAAAATGAGACATTTTTACTAGTAAACACTGCATAAAGTTAAAGACATAAAGCAGATATAAGTTATTAGTAAAGGGAATTTGGTGCAAGAAACATAAAAAAATAATAATTTGCACAATTAAATTTCCTTTAGAATACAGTGGCAAATATTATCACTCATGTCATTTTTAACAGAATAATCATTAGAAACTAAACCTTACTTATGTTGTTGTTGTTAAGTGCCATCAAGTTGATTCCGACCCACAGCGACCCTGTATAGGGTTTCTGAGGAGTGGCTGGTGAGCTTGAACCACCAACCTTGCAGTTCAAACGGCTTTGCAGTCTGGCGCATTAGCCCACAGCACCACACCTGGAATCCACCTTACTTATAGAAATAACTAAATGTCTATTCAATGAATGGAGAAAAAATTGAGAACTTAGCAGCATGTTAGTACTTTGGGTCCAGTTCCATTTCTTGTTAGAGGAGGAAAAATTGTGAAAGGCAAATAGATTTGAACTCTACTCATTAAACTTCCCAGTATCTACTAGAAAGTAACAAAAGAGTTGGATGTTTATATAAGAACATGGATAAAATTAAAGCTGAAGATAAAGACACTACTATTTCTGGAGGGCATTTCATATGCAAGGCATTCTGTGTTACAAAATACTTGTCAACAACTTTATGAAGGTAATTAATATGCATATCCATGTTCTACATATGAAATTTATGCTCTTTGAAATTAAGTAACCTGCTCTAAGTCACATGTGCAGGGAAATAGTTTAGTTCATCTTTGGTATGGCTGTCTTTTTAGAAGAACAAATATTTGGAAAGTGTGCTTATTTTTGATACTTGACAAAGTTCTGATAGAGTTCTCATTCATTCAGTAAACATTTATTGAGCATCTGTGATATGACACATACTACATTGAATACTGGGATTCCTAGGTGAAAGAAAGCCCTTGGTCACAAAGTAGACTGATAAACAATTTATGAGACTATGAGAAATGCAAAATCATACCTATGATTGCAGCTGCCTGTGTTGTTTTAATGAGGGGTAGAGTACTGTCATAAGCCTCTTTGGGAACATAGACTGAGCGGTCTCTGAATTTGTTTTTCTTCAAAATCTTGTGCAATTCGCTCAGCACTCCCACCCACTTACTCTTCTCATTCTCACTATCAGCTAGCATCAGGATTGAACACTTGCTATTAGATGCGGAGAACTGGGAAGCTGTGACCTAGAACAATTAAACCAATATTCATATTAGAAAACATATACCCTTTATGCTAATTTTATGACTAAGCTAGTTTGCTTAGCAAACACCAACAAAATGAGCATTCATTAAATGATACTTTAACAGTTTATCTATTTCTAATCAGAAAAAAAACTAGTTTTGGCATTAGAATTCATGATAAAGCAAAGGTACTAGATATCATTTAAATGTTAGTATCATTTTACACTTCTTGCTATAAAATGCCAGAACACTAACAATAAAATAATGCATTAAACCCAATGCTGTCCAACTGATTTGGACTCATAGCAACCCTACATGACAGAACAGAACTGCTCCATAGGGTTTCCTAGGCTGTCATTTTTACAGAAACAGACTGCCACATCTTTCTTCCATGGAGCTCTGGTGGGTTCAAACCACCAACTTTCTGGTTAGTATCTGAGTGCATAATCACTATATCAACAGGGCTCCTCAAAAATAACAACAACTGACATTTACTAAGTACTAAGCACTGAGTACTTACAAGGTAAGTCTAGGTACTTTACAAGTATTCACTCGATTAGTCCTTATAACACCTTCATGATGCGGTAAGTATATGAAAACACATGAGAATATTTCTCTATTAGTACACTGTTAATGCTCTAGTGTCTACTCTCTTGACCACTATGCCATGTTTGCTGTTATTAGGTGCCATGGAGTTGGTTCTGATTCAGTGACCCCATACCCAACAGAATGAAACACCGCCTGGTCTTCTGCCATTCTCACATTTGTTGTTATGCTTGAGCCCACTGTTGCTGCTACTGTGTCAATCCACCTCCTTGGAGGGTCTGCCTCTTTCTCGCTGAGCCTTCACTTTTGCTTCTCCAGGGACTGGTCCTGGTCCCTCTTAAGAACATGTCCAAAGTACAAGCGACAAGGTCTCACCATTCTTGTTTCTAAGGAGTAGTCTGGCCTGCTCTTATTTCTTCCAAGACAGATTTATTTTTTCTTTTGGCAGTCCACATTCAATCTTTTTCACAAACATCATAATTCAAATGCTTCAGTTCTTCTATGGTCTTCTTTATTCATTATCCAACTTTCACATTCATATGAGGTGATTAAAAAATACTATGACTTGGATCAGGTGCACCTTAGTTCTCAAACTGAAATCTTTGTTCTTTAGCATTTTAAAGAGGTATTTTACAGCAGACTGACTCAGTGTGATACATCATTTGATGTGCAATACATCAAAAATAGTGACAGTGGATCCAAGCAAAATGAAGTCTTTGACATCAGTCTTTTCTCTGTTTATCATGATGTTGTTTATTGGTCTAGTTGTGAGGATTTTTGTTTTCTTTACATTGAGGTTCAATCCATATTGAAGGCTGTAGTTTTAAATCTCCATTAGTAAATATTTCAAATCTTCTTTGCTTCTAGCAAGCAAGGTTGTGTCATCTGCATATCAGAGGTTGTTAATGAGTGTTCCTCCAATCCTAATGTCATGTTCTTCTTCATATAATCCAGCTTCTTGGATTATTTGCTCAGCATACAGATTGAATAAGTATGATGAAAGGATACAACCCTGGTGGCACACCATTCAATGACTGCCTCTTGAGAAAAATTAAGTGTTCTGTAATTTCCATTCTTTGTAAGGTTATCCATAGTTTGTTATGATCCACACAGTTGATGCCTTTACAATGTCAATAAAACACAAGTAAACATCCTTCTGGTGTTCTCTTTTAGCCAAGATCCATCTGACATTAGCAATGATATCCTCATTCCACATCCGGCTTGAAATTTTGGAAGCTCCTTGTTAATGTAATGCTACAACCATTTTTGAATTATTTTAAGCAAAATATTACTTGCATATGATAGTAATTATTTTGCTTGATGATTTCCACATTACATTGCACCACCACAGAGACACTGTACCAAAAGGAAACGGTTAATGTTCAAGCATTTCAAGAGGTATCATATGATCAAGAGTCAATGATACTAAAGGAAGAAGTCCATGCACTGAAGGAATTGGCAAAGAACAAGGCACCAGGAATTGATGGAATAAAAATTGAAATCTTTCAAGAAAGTGAGGTGGCATTGGATGCTGGTCACTAATCTATGCCAAGAAATTTGGAAGAAAACTATCTGGCCAACTGATTAGACGACTATTTGGAAGTATTTGTGGCCATTCCAAAGAGAGGTGACTCAATGGAATGTGGAAATCATTGGACAATATCTTTGATATCCTATGTGAGTTAAGTTTTACTAAAGGTAATATAGGAACGGTTGCAAGCATACATTGACAGAGAACTGCCAGAGGTTCAAGCCGGATTCAGAAAAGGCTGTGGAACAAGGATGTCCGATGGATCTTGGCTGAAAGCAGAGAATATCAGAAAGATGTTTACCTGTGCTTTATTGACTATACAAAGGCTTTCGATTGTGTGGATCATGACAAGCTATAGACAACATTGAGAAGTATGAATACTCTTGAATTGTACTTATGAGGAATCTGTACATGGACCAAGAGGCAGTTGTTCAAACAGAACATGGGAACACTGAATGGTTTAAAATTAGGAAAGGTGTGTGACAGGGTTGTGGTTTCTCACCATACTTATTCAACCTGTATGCTAAGCAAATAATCCGAGGTGCTGGGTTATATGAAGAAAACCGTGGCATCAGGATTGGAGAAAGACTCATTAACAACCTGCGATATGCAGATGATACAGCCTTGCTTGCTGAAAGTGAAGAGGACTTAAAACATTTACTGATGAAGATCAAAGAGCACAGCCTTCGGTATGGATTGCATCTCAATGT